AAAATTTGGTCGCCACTAGCAGATCTTAGTTATGATAATAAACTGTAACTACATATATGCACTAATATTAAACTCTAAATTAGGTGAAGTGATTAAAGCGAAATATGAGAGAGTTATCTGCTTAAGAGAAAGAATGCCTTCTAGGAAGATTTTCTGCAGAAAACTAGCTTGTTTGGTTTCGTTTATGCGATTACTGCAAAGCCCTCGAGAGCTATCTGACTAAGGAAAGGGAGGACTTTCTAAGCGAAACTGGCTGGTATACGTTAGACATGGGGAAAACCATGAAACCGCCCATGCTGTCAGCCCGTTCGCGGGATTCGAACCTCGAAAATTGGCTTACATTTTCAGTGAGCAAGGGACAACTTTGATATTCCTATAACTTTGATATTGGTGAAAGAGTTGCTTTGAACTAACAATGTTCAAAGTCTTACACAGTAAACAAATTTGTTGGTAAATAAGCTAGGTGAGGTTATTAGAATATGGCAAAGCACACAGGGACGCGTAATGGCAAACCGCACATTGAGTTGATAAATGTTAAACGAATTTCGCTTACTGCGCATGCCGAGAATACAATTTGTTGCAATTTTAAAAGAAGGCAAATATGGTATATGGTTGATATTGTGTTATGTGGGCGCAAACAGTTCGGGTTTTTAAAACTTGTTAGGTTGTAAATTGCTTCATTACTTAGAATGTAAATATCGATTTTAAACTACGCAAATTTTCGTGTAAGAAGGATTAGAAAACAGGAAACATTACCAGATGAATCAGCTGAATACTTATTTATTATACTTCTGAGGAATAAAATCAATTCAGTATTTACCATACGTCCACACTTTAACAAATTAAAGAATAAATGCAGTTTAAATTACTGAATTAAAATCAAGTAAGTGATATTAAATTTAATGTTTAGGAACAAAATAAACCAAAATGAAATGAAACAAAAACACATGCAATAACCACACACAAAAATTTCTGTAGTATTGTAATTGTAAACAGTAAAACCAACATGACTCACAGGCTTGTGTAGGGTTGCTTCTGCTTAGTTCCTAGTATTTCCTCCCACGCCAACGATACACCATCGAGCATGCGCAGTAAGCGAAATTCGTTAACACAGATTAACTCAATGTGCGGTTTGCCATTACGCCACAGGGACCATCTTCCTAAGTAGAGGGATGTCTTCGAGAAGCACTTTAAAGAGAAACTGGCTCGTTTTTACATACACACCGGAAAACATATGAAAATCGACCATGCACTCAACCAGTTCCCCAGGGACTGCACCCAGTACTCTAGCGGTCTTAATTATTCGCCGCTTTAGTGAGGCCAAATAAACTCTAGAAACCTTGAAATATTTTCATCCAGATACATAATTCACCTAATTTTCCAGGCAAGGCTAACCTCTGCAAGGAAAGACGAAAACACTTTGGAGACAGGTTATTTATTGAAACAAAGTTGACAATGATAATTAGTTTCAAGATGGAAGCGTTAGTGAAAGATTTTATAAAAGATTCAGACTCCAGTGCTACATATAGAGAAAAAACACGGAAAACCAAAACAGTCGACGAAATCTGCCACAGTAATTAGTATCGGAAAGGACCAACAGTGTTTTAATTGTCTTATCCACATAGCTACTGTCATCGGAGGCTTTTTTATCTGTAGATTCTACGTTATGTAACATCTGATGGCTTTCATATACATAAATGTAAACTTCATTTCGGCATTCCCACAATAACGTTAAATTTATTCTGAGTTTTATCTGACCGAAACATTTATATTTAAGAAGGGAAATTATCCACCTATTACACAGCATTCAAGTTTCCTTAAATATTAAGCGAGTAAGTCTTGGTTACTACTGTTAAGAGTAATTAATCTTCCGAGAGGACATAATCAGAATTTTTGATTCATATGTAATAACAGTAAAATAACACGCCTACAGTTATTAACTGCTATTCTACGCCATTTAGTATTAGGTAATAACTGCTTCAACCAAGGCCCATTAACAGTGATTTGTGCTTGTAACACAGCGTATTTCAGAAGTCCCGATTGCTGAATATTCTTATTTTTATAAGGAAAATGGGATTGAGAAATTATAGGGTGATTTCAGCGCTGTCTAAAGTGTGGTACATGAACTTAAGCCTTAGAGATATAGGCGATAATTAGGTTCAACCCAATTTTGCAAAATGCCTAGGTTTACAGAGTTGCCTAGGTCACTGAATAGCAAAGGTGGAAAAAATTTTAAAAATTAATAACTTACCTCAACTGCAGTTTCCGTGTTAGCAAAATTAAAGAGAAGAAATCAAATCCCTGTGTGTTTTAATATAAAAAATATATCCTAAACTCTGGTGGCATGAACTTTCCTGAACCGAAGCCCTCGTGACATGCAAATAATCTTATACTTGCACTATTTAAATCGAAAACGGCAGATAAAATTACTTTTCAACACATTCTTACTAAATCGTTTAGAAATACTTGCTCCTTCCCCCCAAAAAACATTAACATATAATTCATTTCTTTTCTTTCCCCTCTTTCATAACCAACATTTTAATTAGTGTGAGGACTATTTATTATTATTCTATGTTTATTTTTAAATTTTACCACTGTATTAACTGGCACTTTAATTATTACGAAAACTGTGATTATTTTCTGACTTATAAAATTGAGACATAAATTTAAATGATTTGTTCTTTTTGATTTTATACTGCTAGTAAGAACACCTTGTTAAAGCAAACCATAATTTCGTTATTGTTTAATAATAAAGATAATAGAAAATACAACAAAAAATTATTTGTCAATTAACATAGAAGAAATATTAACTAGGATTTACAAAATTTTCAAATTGGTATAAAACTTATACATTAATTGAGATGAATAACAAAACTATTAAGGAAGAACTTTTTTAATATATGGGAATTATTACAGAAATACTTTTGTTACATTACAGTACCGGTAAAACCGAAAATTTTTATACAGTTAGAAAATCTGGTCGAAATAAAATTCGACGTTTATAATACGTTGATTTTTATCAGCAAGTTAAGAAATATAATATCATTATATCCAATTTAAAAGCTCGACACTGGAAAGGCTTAACTAAAAAAAAGCTCTTTTTTCAAAAATAGTTAGACTGTTCAGCATCATGGAACATAGCAAAAATGCATTTGAAAACTTGTACGTGGACGAGATCGATCGCCATTTTTTAATTTTAAGAAGGAACGAGGTTACGTGTTGCTAACGCTTTCTTTTCGTCTGCATCAATTTTTTTTCCAACTTTTGAAGTCAAAGCAACTGCTGTGAAGATTACACCGGTGGAAAATCCACTTTCGATAACTTATCTCCCTTCCCTGTTTCTTCAAGCAAAACGTTAATGACGAAATGCAATTGAACTCAAGCACACCATCAACTGAATTTCGCGGAATGGATGCCATGATGCTTTTTGACAAGGGATGTGAGAGGGTAATCCTTTCTCATAGCAAATCTAGACATGAAAATGAAAATCTCAATGAAAAGTTTTGTCAACTTTAGTAAAAAGTAGCAAAAGGCTTAAACTTCCAAAGGAAAAAAAAATGTCCTGCAAGTTCGTAAGCCCAACAAACAGGATGGTCCAACAAACACACCCAACAGACAGCATGGTCCAACAAACACACCTAACAAATGGCATTAATTTTTAAAACTATTATTGCGAAGATTAAGACACTAAAATATCCAGTTTCGGAGATTTTCTCAAGTTTCTTCAAATGGCTGTGTAATTCGCGTGCTATGATAGAAATCGACTTGGCCTAATAGAGATTAATAAGAGATTATTTCTTCGCATAGAATGTGAATAGAGTGATTCCGCTGCCCAGCAATCAAAGCACAAAACTTGTTACGACGTCGCAATATAAAAAAATCAAAATTGAGAAAATTTATTACAGTGTTTTCTAAAACAACATGTCCAATTTATTGGATTTAACAGTCTTTGATTAAAGATAGCTAGCTCTTTGCTATATTTTTGATGCGTTTCAGAAATTGATAGAAATTCATTCATTTTCCGCTTTAAAAATGAACCAGATTTCAGCCAGATAAATTTAAATAGTATGTATCAAACGTTATAAAAACAGTAAATATCTACAAACGCAGGATATGAATCAATTAAGGGTACTCGTACACCTTAAAACCCATAAGCTCTTCGAATATATGACTGTTGCAAGAATTGGGATAACTTATTTATTTTAAAAGCAATTACTTCCAACTTTTTTACAGCTGACTACATACTATAGCTGCTTTCTGAAATAGTAAACAGAAAGTTTGTGTCGCTACAAATATTTTTATAATTTAATCCAATTTGTGAGAAAATCTTTCATCATGTTTCCCCCTTTAGCGCACATTTTAAAACATTCTGTTGCATAATTTAATTCCATACTTAATATATAGCTTTTACAACATTTGAAGACTACTGTGAACCAAAATTCTAAGAATTTCATGTTAAATTTTTATTTTATTTAGAATTGAGTTTATAAAATGTATTTTATTAAAAAAATCAGTAATGTTTTCGCGCATAAACTTTTTTAATATTAAAATATTCGTCAGATTTTTGCTTCCCTTAGAAAATAGTGCCCATATAAAGAATTCCACCAAATTTCAAGTATGTACCATTAGCCATTTTTAAAAAATCATGCATGCAAGGTGAAAAAGTGACGAAAAATTTTGTCAGAAAGCGGATTAAATTACAAAAATGTCTGTTATGACAAAAACTTTCTGGTTACTAGTTTCCAAAGCAGCTATATTATGTAGTCAGCTATAAAAAGTTGGAAGTAATTTCTTTTAAAATAAATAATATTCGAAGATCTAAGGGGTTTAAGGTGTATGAGCGCCCTTTTAAGCAGAACTTTCAATCCTTTTTCTCTTAATTTTAAACACACTTGCTAAAACATTCTGGAAAATAATTCTACCAGTTTCATAATTGCAAATTGTTTCCTCGAAATCTACATCATAGAACAAATTAGAGAAATAATAAATAAATAACATACCCTAGCCTTCTCCAACTGGGCCAGTGCCTGCCGTTCGGTCTCCCGGCGCATCGCCTCGCGTTCCTCATCCAGAGACAGGTCTGAAGATGGCTGGCTATAATTTGAGTCCGCTGACCCCTGCCACAAAGGAGAAATATAGGTCATTATTTTAAAATTATAACAATGAATAAAGAGTGAGAAAGCATTATGCAAATAACGATTTTTGAAGAATTATTAACAAAGAGGCATATTTTATTTTAACAACTATAATGACTTTTTTTTTAAAGGATATGGTGTATCGTAACCTAGCGGCCATGGGAGGGAATACAACGTTCTATAACAGTTAATGAAAAGTAGCCACAGCAAGACAGAGCTCAGAGAATGGTAAATGGCAACACCAAGATAAAGTTAAAAGAAAAAACAAGTTTTAGAAAAACAGTAACTCATATAAACAAAAAAGGAAAAACAATGTTTTAACAATGTTGTTGTGGACATACAGTAAATAAGTGTCAACCATGGAACAGGCGTTGCGTGGATGTTTTGTCTTCCGCTCTAGGCTTTTGTAAGTCAGCTAGCTTTTTCTTTTCGTAATAATGTGAATAATAAAATGTGAATGCATTTTGGTAACAAAGTTTTCTCTTAAAATACCAACACACATACGTTCAGTATAATACACTGGTGGACAATAGCTAAGGACGGATCTCAAACGGGTATACAGAGCGCTAAAAAGTAAGTGTGTTTGGATGCCAAGTGAAATAAAATAATGCCAGAATACTAGGACATAACAATAAGGAGAATTTATCTAGGAAGCTTTGAAAAGTGTTCCAAGGAACAAATGGTCATTTTGTGCTGCATATATAAAAGTGAAAAAAATGGAATTGCCGTCCGTAGGCATTCTAGCGTAAGATGCCAATTCGGGATATGGTCATCATGGAGGGCTATGTAAGATTCCACACATCGTGTCATACTTTGCACAACATTATACAACAACTGTTGGAGTAATTTATTCTATTCCTCTATCAATGCACGGATGAGGGTGTCCTTGTTTACTAGATGACATTGTCGACCATCAGACTCCTCCCCAAAGCATTCCATACATTTTCAATGGGGTTTAGATCTGGAGAACTTGCTAGTCATACGGGGCGTTGAATATCCTCGCTCTCTGGAAACTTCCAGACAGCGATTATCCCGTGAAATGTTGCATTGCTGTCGATGAGAACACACTTATCACCGACAGCACCACAGGACATTCGAACATGAGGGCAGTAGAACATTATTAATGTATTGTTGGACAGTAATAGTTCCAGTTGCAACCACATGGAGGGGCGTGCGGCCATTGATCATAGTGCCGGCCCAAACAGTGATACTGCATCCAGGATATCTATCTTTTCTGGATATTTTCTAGATGATAAGCAGTACCATTTTCACGACAGATCAGTTGGCGTCTACAGTCAACCAGACTGAACCTATTCTCATCTAAGACTAGTACACAAACCCAGTTGTAGTGAGTCCAATTACGATGCTGGAGATGACGATATATTGCAAACGGGCAGTACAATGGAACAATGGACTGTCTGGACAATGGAATGCACACAACAGGACGGCGGGCGTACTTTAGTCCTCCTTGATACAAAACATCTGGCTCAATTTTTCAGGAGATTCGTTTGTCAGTAGTAGCAAGTAACTGATTTGCTACCTCAATAGCTGTGCTGTGCCGGATCGTTTTGTGAATAGCACTATGTACTTATCTTTTGCAGGCGTCCCACTGCGAACAAGACCTTCCCCGTGGCTTTTCCTACACATTACATTTATTCAAAATGATCTTCAAACACTTGAAACAACACTGTGGCTGACGTCGTACTCCCTATCAACATATGTTATTTTTTGCCCTTCTTCATTCTTGCCACTAACACGGCCACGCGTAAAATCATCTAAGTGATGTCAGGAACATATACCGAAAATAGCAAGTTCGTCAATTGATTCTTTCCCGTTAAATTTTGCTTTTGAACGACAACGGTCAATAGGCATCAAACCCTTTCTCTTTTATTAGCGCATCACGTGACGAACAACTTCTTCAATCCAAAATCTGCATATACACAACACGTCTTACTGTATCCCACATTTACGCTAATGTCCACATTTTCCTGTCTTCCTTTTTGTGGTTGCCATCTCTGCTATTGTCATCCGTCGTTAGCAATTGCCCACCAGTGTACTAATTTTAAAAGAATCTCACAAAGCTTAGAAGCATGGTTCCTTGGTTATAATCGTACATATTTGGTTATTACCTCTTGCATAATGAGTACAGGATAAACCTCTTAAACAGAGAACAATGAAGTGCCTCTTAAACAGTGAACGCATCTCTCACTAACGCAAAGTAGTAGCAGGATAGTTTAGTAATTTCAATATGTATTTTCACTGAGCAAACAACTACGCATAGTTAAGAATTTTATTATGCACGCCTCCGAGGCAGAGTTCATTTTAAGTAATTGAAGTAGAATGGTTCTAAGAAATTTGCCTCTTAACGGTATCAGATTCTTGGCAGTTTACTGCGGCTTTCTCTTTTAGCACTTTGTCTTCAACACAATTCAGGATATACATTTAGAGGATTTACTTGTTAATAACAGTATTTTATCTATGAACTTAAGATGAGCTATTAATGCATGGTATATATTTATCAACTGGCATTAAGATGAATAAGTCAAATTCAAAGTAATATTATAATCAATGGTGGAATTAAAATAATTTAGCAACCAGCTCGCTGTTTGATAATTAGCTGTATTAGATAAATAGCAATAAATGGTTTAAATAAATAAATATAATTTTATCTTAGCCGTTTTGCCGAACTAAAATTATTTTAGAAAGTAGCTCTAGTGAACCAATGTAGACCAACTGAAGCTTACTACTTGATAAATCTGACTACTTACACGAAACGGTACGCCTTTTTTTATTAGCATTTAAGGAATTCTTCCAGAGTAATAAAGTCATTTTTATGAAAGAGTATGTATCACAAGATTTAAATCAGCATGTTTTGGAAGAAAATGTTACGAAATATCTCAATCATACACAGGAATACATCATAAATAGCTATAAAAAGAATAACTTTGTTTAACTTTATCAAAAACTTAGTCTTTTAAGAGTCTTTTAATTATTTTACATAGACTTCACCTGTGGCCAAACGATTAAGATCATTGAATACTGGTAGATTGCCCAGGTTTGAAAACCCATGAGAAGGGATTGACTGCATGGTTGGTTTTCCCATTTACAAACCTGAGCATGATCCCGTATGAAAGCATCTCTTCGCTTAAGCAGATAGCTCTGGTGTACGCTGTCACAATCAAATAACCTAAAGCTAAATGTTTTACGGAAATGGTAAAGCGTATGTATGTTTGGAAAGGGAACATAATAAGTATTCATGAAACTTCATTTAAAGTTATTTTGAAAAACGATTTACGATATCCTGTTGTTTAACATTTGTGCAAGTAGTATGAATTTATTTTACGAGGAAGTGCACAGATATTTTTTAAGAATTATGGAAAATACATATTACCAAACTTTGCTACCATAAATGTCTAAAAACGTTGTCTAATTTATCACTTATTATTATATAAATTACTTAGTTATTTATGTAATTTAAGATTTATTTATTGTATAATTTATTGCTAATTATTCCCGGAGGCGATGAGTCGGGAAGGAACATTGGCTAATCGAATTCAGACGACAGAACGTAAACCTGGTACAGATGCCATGACTTTATTCCCTTAACTTAAAAATTATATTTAAGATTCATTAAAGCATTAAACTACGGGCAAGTTAGGTTAATTATAAAGCCATACAAACGGCATTTTGTCTAGGCGAAGAATATATCTTTATGAAGGACTTCCAAAGAAAAACTATGATGCATTAACTTTATATATGAAAAACAATGAAAAATGAAGACGGCCCTTTCAGAACTTATTGATAAAGCCTAGAACGGATTACCAGTGTTCGACGAATTAAATCCCTAAATAACTAATGACCATTATCATGTTCGTTTAACTGATCGCGAAGCATATCAGAATTACGTGCCTAAGAAAAGGATTGCAAAGCAGACTACAGCTACCTATTTAGAGTGGGGCTGCCTTCGTAGAAGATTTTCTAAACAGAACTGTCTTGTATTCATACTACACATACAAGGTGTCCAAAAAGGTTATTTTCGAACTTTACGAGCTGGTCTGTCAGATAATTGATGAACACGTTTTACATAGGAAGATGTTGTGTCCGAAAATCAAATCTTGCGGTACTAGAGCAATGTGATTGATACGCAATGAAAGCAAGGCACTTTTTGAAGTCTATGTCAGATGTTATGATCATTTCGTATGCCAGAGACTTCATGTAATTCAAGAAGAAATAATTCCATTGAAGGTAAAAGGATCGACGCGGCCTCTCAATTACCCGTAGCATATTTTTCTCGAAGGCAGTGTGCGTGTAGTGCGTTGCCGACCGATATGACTGTTTAATCGAAAAGCTTTGGCTTCATTTAACCTGCGGTACAATTGTCCAAACAATGGATGACTTGGCAGATGTGAGTTTGGGAAGAGCTATCGGTATATGTGTCTCGGGGATTGTCTATTTGCATCCACGGATCTATTACACGTAATGCATAACAGCCAGTTTCTCGTTGCTGAACCGATGCATTTTTTTGCTGCAACCTTTTCGGCTAAAATTAATCGACTTTTCGCTCTCAAATACGTCTGAGAACATCGGCATTCAGCGGCTTCTGGTTACGGTTTCGAACATTACCTATATCAAATTTATTCGCCATAACAGACCACCTCGTAAAGTTCCTTAACGACATTTTAGGATACCCTTTATTCATTTCCACATGGAAAATGGCGCCCATGCTGCTAGCCTGTTCGCCGTGAATTGAACGTAGGCCAAATTCTCTCGGCTCGGCCAACGGTAGACCAGCAAGTCAGAAATGAGGTAAATAGAATAGACATTCTGTTAAAATATCCTAAGGGAGAAAGAAGTTATGTAAGAAAATTTTAGGACACATATATAATTTTTTAACGTTAAATTTCGTAGCCGAGAACTTATTCTATTACATTCGACAAAAATTAATACTTTGTGAGACAATGTCAAACAAATTTAATGTGATA